TGACTCTACATATGGACATCACCAGACGGTCAACACAGAAATCAGTTTGACTATGTGCTCTGCAGCCAAAGATGGAGAAGCTGTATACAGTCAGTAAAAACTAGACCAGGAGTTGACTGTGGCTCAGATCATGAGCTTCTTGTTGCAAAATTTAGGCTTAAATTGAAGAAAGTAGGGAAAAGCACTAGGCCACTCAGGTACGACCTAAATCATATCCCTGATGAATATACAGTAGAGGTAACAAATAGATTTAAGGAATTAGATTTGATAGAGTGCATGAAGAACTATGGATGGAGGTTTGCAACATTGTACAAGAGGTAGCAACTAAACCAAACACAAAGAAATGCAAGAAAGCAAAATGGCTGTCTGAGAAAGTTTTACAAATAGTTGAGGAAAGAAGGGAAGCGAAAGGCAAGGGAGAAAGAGAAAGATACTCCCAATTGAATGCAGAATTCCAGAGAATAGCTAGAAGAGATAAGAATGCCTTCTTAAATGAACAGTGCAAAGAAATAGAAGAAAACAATACAACAGGGAGGATCAGAGATCACTTCAAGAAAATTGGAGATATGGAAAAGGTCAGTTTACATTCTGATCCCAAAGAAGGGCAATGCCAAAGAATGTTCAAACTACCACACCATTGCACTCATTTCACATGCTAGCAAAGTTATGTTCAAAATCCTACAAGCTAGGCTCCAGCAACTAGGTTCTCAGCAGGACCGAGAACTACCAGAAGTACAGGCAGGATTTCGAAGAGGGAGAGGAACTAGAGATCAAATTGCCAACATACACTAGATCATGGAGAAAGCTCAGGAGTTCCAGAAAAACATCTACTTCTGTGTCATTGACTTTGATTGTGTGGATCACAACAAATTGTGGCAAGTTCTTAAAGAGATGAGAGTACCAGACCATCTTATTTGTCTCTTGAGAAACCTATATGCGGGTCAAGAAGCAACAGTGAGAACTGGACACGGAACTACTGATTGGTTCAAAATTGAGAAAGGTGTTCAGCAAGGCTGTATACTGACACCCTGTCTATTTAACTCATATGCAGAGCACATCATGAGAAGCGGGGGTGGGGGGGTTTGATGAATCACAAGTTGGAATTAAGATTGCTGGGAGAAATATCAACAACCTCAGGTATGCAGATGATACCACTCTAATGCCAGAAAGTGTAGAGGAACTAAAGAGCCTCTTGATGCGGGTGAAGGAGGAGAGCGTGAAAGTTGGCTTGAAACTCAACATTAAGAAAACTAAGATCATGGCATCCAGTCCTATCACTTCCTGGCAAATAGATGGGGAAGAATTGGAGGTAGTGACAAATTTTATTTTCCTGGGCTCCAAGATCACCGCAGACGGGGACTGCAGCCAAGAAATCAAAAGACGCTTGCTCCTTGGGAGGAAAGCAATGGCAAATCTAGACAGCATGCTAAAAAGCAGAGACATCACCCTGCCAAGAAAAGTGCATATAGTCAAGGCTATGGTTTTCCCAGTTGCAATGTATGGCTGTGAAAGCTGGACCATAAGGAAGACTGAGCGCCGAAGAATCAAGGCCTTGGAATTGTGGTGCTGGAGGAGACCCTTGGACCGCAAGGCAGTCAAACCGGTCAGTCCTAGAGGAGATCAACCCTGACTGCTCTTTAGAAGGCTAGATACTGAAGATGAAACTCAAATACTCTAGCCACCTAATGAGGAGGAAGGACTCCCTGGAGAAGAGCCTAATGCTGGTAACAATTGACAGCAAAAGAAGAAGGGGATGGCAGAGGATGAGTTGGCTAGATGGAGTCATTGAAACAGTTGGTGTGAGCTTAAGTGGGCTCCGGGGGATGGTGGAGGACAGGAAGGCCTGGAGCAATGTTGTCCATGGGGATGCGACGAGTCGGACACAACTTCGCGTCTAGCAACAACAAACAAGAAGGATGGGACTGAAATCTCTCTGTGAAATACTAAGTTCATCTTGGACACAAATGAAAGGCTTGTTTTCAGGATCGCCCTGTCACTGGAAAAAAATGAAGAGCTGGAGGTCTGCTGAGAGATCACCTGAACTGACATCATGTTTCCTTTCTCGGGGCTTTTTTGACCACAGCCAACAGATTCAGACTCTTTGAGGTTGCTACAACTTGAGGATTACCTTACCACCACTGTGACTTGTGGGTGGGAAGAGGGTGCAGCTCCAAATGAAAGGCTCTCTTCCGGTACTTTTTTTTTTGGGAGGGAGGGGAGCACGAGGAATGAGGACACTGATCCCAGCCCCACACTCAACTGTATTTGAAGTTAGCTCTGACTGGTCACAAGGATGATTATGGCTAAGGCCGAGGAATTATTGCTTGGGGCACCTCTGACACCACGTGCCTTCTTGTGGGTGGAAAGGGACACCAGGACAGGGCTATCACCTGACAGCTATGCCAACTGGAGGCAGAAGTGGAGCAGTTGCTGTCACAACAAGTTGTGATGCTTTTAATTTTTGCATGGCTCTGGCCACAAAAGAAAGCTCTGAAGCCTGTTTTCTGAAGGGTCTTCCCAAATACCCCTCTCGCTGCATCCCCTGGGCTAGACAGGAATGAGGAAGAAAAAAAAAGCTATTCAAGTTGGGCTCTTAAGAAACTCTAGGAGATGCAGGAATACACCAAGCTGATTTTGGTGTACTCCAATAAGGTCTTATTTTATCCAAGAAGACCTAAATATTTGTTTTTTTCCTGAGCAAGTCTTGTTCTTCTATCTGCTTCATAATTCTATCTTTCATAATACCAATTTAACAAACAGGTGTAAATATTCCTGCCACTCCTTGTTGAGTCAACGGTGCAACTAGATAATTTTTGACACTGGACTTTTTGGCATCATGCCTCCCTCCCTGCCTTATTACTTCAGTTGTGAAGCACACCACTGCCATTGCTTGCTTGACGACTGCTTCTACATTCCTTATATGCGAGAATGTTTGCCAACTGATTTTTAAAATACTCTGAATGCATGCAGTTTTGCATCAAGCTCATTTATATGATAGCACCATCATGACTACAGTAATAAAATGGAGTTTGCTTTTGCTAGTTTGATTTTCTCATAACTCGCCACTTTCTGGATGGCCACTTGGAGACACCCCAGACTAAGGGACTCTGGTTGCACTGATGGCAGAATAATTACCATTACTAAAAATACAATTACTGTAATATAAAAATAACAGTATCTACCCCAAGCCCTTGAGAGGTGGTAGACTAAAAATCCACACAAACATATAGTTCTCATACAAAGGAGATCCATTTTCTTATTTAAAATCCCAACTTGTCAGGAAAAAGTGCAAAGAACATACAGCTCCAAGAAAAACAAGCCTTGTGTCATGTAGTCACTGTTTAATTTTAGCACTGAAAGCATTTGCATATAGTCTTTCCTCTCCATTTAAAAAGTTGAATATGTGGGTATTAATAATCCAGCACATGTATCTGGAATTTTTTCATTCCTCATGCATAAAATCAAAAGTTAAACATGAGGAGAAGGGGTTCTCCCTCACACATTATGACAGATAATGTGTCATTACTGTTCTTGCCCTTTGGGAAAACCATTAATCACATCCTTCTAAATAAGAATATAAAACAATACAAATGAATGGGTGAGAATAGGTATTCATATCAGAGGTACAGTAGGCAAAGAACAGCCGTGATTGTTTTTCAAAGATGAAAATGCCAAGAAAGAGAAGCAGATGGCTGGCTGGATCATTCTACATACCATATGAGGACACATTCTCTTACTAATACATAACATTAATTAGTCAATCCACACAATATTACAGGGAAAGATAACAGCAATCATTAATAAAGACATAACAGTTTATTGTTCTTTCACATAAAACAAAAAGGTACCCATCACAAAGAATTGCCCCAAATTTCAATTGTCTGTTAGCAGAAAACACTTATGCATATTGTGGGCGAGGGAGGGCTCAATGATTACTCTCACGCTGCAATCTTTTGTATTCCCTAAAAAGCTATTGCAGAGGTTTCCTATCTTCATAAAGATTTTGGGGATGAAGTGGGGGAGCACGGCTGCAGACAGAAGCAAGGGAGAATATCCCTGTGTAAAAGTGGAGGCCACTGCACCCTGGACCCAGGCCAAGGAGAACAAACTTTAAAGACTTAAATGGTTAGTGCTCAAGGTACTTGAAGGATCATCTCTCATATAAGCCTGTCCATGTTCAACAGAGCCCTTCTCACCTACCTACCACCAAGTGCAGTCAGTCTAGTGAGTTCTTGGGAAAGACCCTTCTCAGTGGTGATTGCACACTTATGGAATCAACTACTGTCAAGGGTTCATCAGGGTACTTCGCTGCAGGACTTTGGGAAATCTCTGAAGACCCCCATCTTCATTAGCCTTCCCATAAATCTAGGCTATTGGATTTTACTGGGGGGGATTTTACTGGGGGGGGGGTGTATTTTTATTGATTTCATTTGGTTTTATTTGGCAGTCTCATTTTTTATGGATTTGTATGTTTTTTGTCTTGTATGCCACCTTGAGAAGATTTCATCCTTAAAGGCAGTTTAGAAATAATTTTAGACGGGTATACAGAACACCATCTGTTTTACATTTGACACCATGCAAGTTCTCAACATGCCTGGAGTCTTGATGAAATGAGATCATCTCACCTGTACAGGCAATGTTAGCATACCAGGGGTCCACAGACCAGGAAAATGCTGCACCGGCAACGGAGGGCTTGAATTAAACATGACTCCAGGCACATGAAACATCAAATGGCTGTGTTCTTCTTGTAAAACATACAGCTTGCAGACATTACATCTATGCCTGAGCCCAACAGCTATAAGCTCAGAGAATAGGAACCATTCATCAACGTACTTCTGTTATGTTAGTACCTCCCTGTCACCACCGTTTCATTATTTTCATTTTACAACAGATAAACTGAATTTGCAAGCAGAACATCCCCTTTCTTCTTGCATTGGAAAAACTACCAGTTGCTTTTGCAAGAATGCATTTAGCTAGAAAGTGTGAGGAGGGAGCATTACCTTGGCTAATTCTTCAATGAAACACACATGGGTAACAGGATCTCTTTTCTTGGACAATACTTTCTGCAGATGTTGCACCTGAAAAGGAAATAAGTTTAAATCCAACTTGTTTGTATATTTACAGTGCCCTCATAACATTTCCAAGTGATGTTCAAATGACCAAATACCTGTCCACAAGCTGCGCAGATTTGATCCATCAGCTTCTCCATATTAGTCCACAGAGCTGCTCTAAAGGCTGCAGTATTTCCTGGTGTTGGCATAGTTGCTCGCCCAGGGCCACCACCTAAAAGTATTTCAAGAAGAATCTGGCTCGCCTCAAAATGTATTTATTTTTTAAACCACAAATAGATTCAGGGTTAAGGATTTATACTCCTTATTTATTTTTAAATTTATATGCCACCCACTAGTCCAAAGGGATTCTCTAGGCAGCTTACAAGAAAACCAATAAAATAATACTTGGGTCATTAAGAGTTGGAGCAATTTCAAGACAGGAAGTCGAAGCTGAACCAAGGAGGTCATGGTTCAATCTGGTAAGTGGCTGGAACAAGGGTGTGCAACTTGTGGTCCTCCTAGTCTTTTGACCTACTATTCCCAATAGCCTTAGACCTGCATAGCCAACAGTGGGTGATCATGAGAATTACAGGCTGAAACATCTGGGTGGCTTAGTTTAAATCCTCAGGCAGCCATGAAATTCATTCCATGGTACTGTGCAGGTTACTAGCTCTATGCAGTTTTTCAAAGACTCATATGATTAGCATAATGGGAAGGCAGACTGGAGGCAGACTTGTTGGACCCACCCATTCCACTATATCTCCACCATGCTCCCTGCTCTGACTGGGGAGCTATTTCTAACTTGCATGAAGCCCTCATGAGGACAGCAGATACCCCACTATTCTCTGCTAACATCTATAGGAGCCTTCCTCAACCTTGGGTCCTACATGTGATTTGAACTTCAATGCCCATCAGCCTTAGGTGGCATGGCCAGTGGTCAGGCATGCTGGAAGTGGTAGGCCAAAACATCTGGAGGGTGCCTGGTTGGGGAAGGTGGATCCTGAGTGCAGTGGCTAGGCGACAGGGACAGCAAGCACATCCCACTCTATTCACATTTATGTAAGACAGAAACGAACACTGAATAGGGTTATTATACTTCTACCTAAGCTATCTCCCAAGGATGCTGTGATGATAAAATGGGACTGGTCCTATAAAATTGGCCTAAGTATCTTGGTGCATGAATAAGATAGAGGTATAATTAAAAATATAATTAGTAACTCCCCCATCAAAAACGGTTGTCTTGCATAAATGTCAGCATATAGTCAAGAACTTCAGCAATAGACTTTTGTGTGAGTTAAGCAAGCTTAATTATGGAAATGTCCTAAAATACATCAATAACCCAACTTTATATTGCATTCAAAAACTTGCACAAAGAGTGGCCCAAACCCTTATGTTACAACTCCAAGCACAGGAGTTATTCTCTTTCCCTGATCGAGATGTCATATTGTTTGAAAAAGGGCAGCACAAGGTTAAAAAACTTTCCAAAGAGCAACATAATGCAATGTATCATGTTAGCTAGAATAGGAGGCACAAGTCAAACTACTATCAATGCAAGTCCAATGTGCTGCTGCACTTCCCAAGACTTCTATTTCTGAAGAAGGAACTTGCTTCTGCTAACATTCTGCTGTTAGTAAATAGGGTACACCAGCTGTTGACATGGCTTGAAATTTCAGTCAAAGAAAAACATCATGCTGAAACATTAAGTGAAACACATTTGAGTTAAGAATGACCTGGAAATAGGCCAACTCATTTACCTCAATGTGACTTTTCCACATTGCAATTTGCATCACATAAAGAGAAAACAGCTTACCCTACAGTCAAGTGTGATGAAGATTAATTAGAAATATGCAGAACTGTGCTATAACCCAATTAGGAGGATATTGTGTTAAACTACCAGGCACTGTTCTTTTACTATAGTAAAAAAAAAACACAGTACCTCTAACCACTGTGTGAGAGGGCTGAGTCAAAACCTTAATATCCAAGGCATTGTTGATGTTCTCCTCCAAACTCATGCAATATCCATCCAGAACATTGGCAATTGTGACTTTCAAAGTTCCAAGATTATAGAAAACTTGAAGAGCGGTGCCTACTTGAGTTGGATTCTAGATGTGGGAAAGAAAAAAGGCAGCAAATGGAGCAAGTATTGGTTAAATTTTAACTATGGAACAACTTGGTCATCAGTGAACTATATTTCAATATTTGTATGTTTCACTTATTCTGCTTCATTTTGTTCATATCAAGTTTATAGAATTGTTCACTGCTCAAAAGAGTTTTCGTCTAACTAATCAGCCTCTACTACAAAAAGTATTCACTAAAGAGTTACATTTAAATATATTTGCAGATGATCAAACCACAATATAAAAGTCCATTTCTGAAAAGCATTTAGATGACTACTGGACACAGTAGCTAAAATATTGGACTGGGACCTGGGAGATCTGAGTTCTAGTCCCCATACATAAAGGAGCTCACTGGTGGCTTTTGGCTAGTCACGGACTCTCAGCTTATGGAGGAGAATTATGTAAGTCACCTTGCATTTCCTTTAAAAGGAAAATGGTGGGATATAAATGTAATATAATTAGAGTAACAAAAGGATCCCTGCCAAGTTGCATAAATGTTAGTCCCATTGCAATAAACTACTTGGAAACAAAAGAAATGACTTCCTGTTTGTATTTTCCTAAGGCCTTTCTCCTCTATTTTTCTCTATGGAAAAAATGTAACTCTGGGGAACAGTGTGGGTAGAGGAATGAGGAATTCTTGTGTAGGATTAAGATAAAGATTTTAATGTAAACAATCTACAGACATAGAGAACAACTTTTGTATATACGGGAGAGTTCAAAGTTTCCAATGTTCTTACAAAGTTTGATTTGATGGCATATATTTTGCTAATTGATAATATTAGGGTTGTATTAGACTGTTTCTATAAAACACTTAATTTCATTCCCCACAAAGTTGGTGTGTCCAGTGGTGTGTTGCTGTGTACTTTTCTTTAGTACTTCCCAAATGCAAATAACCAAGACATATGTGCTTAGACAGCATAAGGTGCAACAAGGTTGTCTCTCTCATTCTCTCACTCTTTTTTGTATTCAGTATATTTGCACTTTTACACTCTACTAAAATAGAGTGGTTCTTACTTCTGAATGAACATGCTTCAGATTCTTTTATATAAACTGTCTTGAAATGGTTGTTGCCCTAAAAGCTGGTCTGGAAAAATATATAAAACTGCTTAACATGTCTTAGATACATCAAAAAATAGAAGTTTACACACTAACTTATAAATTAGCATTTTATATTAAAGCACTGAAATCAGTTTAGGTTTGATAAGAATGCAACTACTACATAGTAGTACATCTCTAGAACAATATGCAAGTAACTTATTCAGCCCCAAAGCTACAAGCAAACATTTAAAGATGCCAATTTTTAAATACACCCAGCATTTCAAAGTTTCCCATCTTTAAAATAAACAGCAGTGTTAATATTTTGTTTCTCATTTCCTGTAGCAGTAGTACACCAGCCAAAATAAAGCTTCAGTTAATAAACAAGTGAGCCCAGTATTTAACATGAAAAGTTATATCTAAAGATATAGAAAGTGTATCTCACATTTAACTATAACAGTATTTAATTCCCATATAAATTAAAAATACAAACCAGCAACAGTTAAAACCATAACATGGACATCTTACTATTTTTCATTTTCATTTTTTTAAGTATCTAGGATATGAAATGAAATGCAGAACAAAACATCCAAGTCCTTAAGACTTATTTAAAGCAGAGAGGAAGCCAGGCATACCTCTCAGTGAATGGCACTTCATAAGGATAAGGCCACCACAGAAAAATCTCTGTCACTTCTGCTCTCCAAGTTATAGGTACTTGTGGTGGGCATGTGAGCAGGCTCAGGTAGATTCACACAAGTGCAGGTAGTTCACTTGAGCTGTCTGAAGGCTTTTAAGGCATTAAAGGTAATATCCACACTTTCAATTGGGCCTCAAAGCACAGTAAGAACCAGCACACGCCTGGCACAGAATCTGATCACCCAGGTCCTATCTGATCTAAAGCTACAGAGAGCAGGCTTCATACCACTTGACGAAGTCCTGGTGGACAATATTACATGGGAAAATTTGTGGCAGTAAGAGTTGTAAGCCAGGAGCATCACCTCAGAGTAAGCCTTAAGATGGCTTTTTGCCCCTTGTTGCATTCTCTGAATATTAGTGCATACCATCGATATAGCCCTGCAATTGGGTCAAGGATGCCTCGGAGCATACATGGTGATGGTCTGTCCATCTCCTCATTTGAAGCAAAGACCAGGACCACAGCAGAACTGCAAGCTACAAGTGCAGGAAACTCCGCAGGAGATCTCAGGAAGTATTATGCTAATGGGCAGGTTTTAAATAGACAGATATAGATTCACCTGCTCCTGCTGATTGAATTGCTGAACTTGGTTCACAAAGCCTACTTCACAGGGTTGTTGTGGGGATACAATGGAGATGAGGGCCATGTGACCATGTAAGTCTTCTTGCAAGAGGAAAAATGAGAGGATATAAATGTAATGAGGATGAAATAAAATGATCAGTTGGGCACACTTAATCAGATAATGGTCTATGAAAATGGAGCTATATTATTATTATTATTATTATTATTATTATTATTATTATTATTATTACATTTCTATGCCGCCCCTTGCCGAAACCTCGGGGCGGCTTACAACACGATAAAATACATTGAAATACAATAGCACATAATAAATTACCATTAAATACAAAAATACAAAAAATACATTGATTTACAAATATAAGATTAAAATTATCAGTATAAATTAAGTAAATAAAAATATAGGAGGAGATAGAGAAGGAAGAAGAAGCTGCCCTGGCCAGATCATATGTTTTAACAATTAAAATGATGTTTAAATAAAAAGGTCTTTACCTGGCGCCAAAAAACCAGTAACGACGGTGCCAGGCGGACCTCTTTGGGGAGTGAATTCCATAGGTTGGGTGCCACCGCAGAGAAAGCCCTCCTCCGAGTACTTACTCTCCTAATTTCTTTCATGGAGGGTTCCCGGAGAAGGGACTCTCCCGCAGATCTCAAAGGGCGGTCGGGCATATACAGACGTAAGCGCTCGTTCAGGTAGCCAGGACCCAAGCCGTTTAGGGCTTTATAGGTCATAATCAACACCTTGAATTGGGCCCGGGCTTCAATGGGAAGCCAGTGAAGCTGACGGAGGACTGGAGTCATGTGAGCATAACGCCCCGTCCCCGTCAGCAACCTGGCAGCTCTATTTTGCACCAATTGAAGTGTTCGGACTGTCTTCAGGGGAAGCCCCACGTAAAGCGTGTTACAGAAGTTTCTAAGCTTTCCTACCAGAAATCACACTCCACTACAAGAAACGAAGTTGAATGATGGGCAGCCTCTCTTGTCCTGAACTTAGCCAGACAGTGCAATCAGTTTCCAGAGAAACGCTTGGAAGGTAGCAACAAAAAAGAGGGTCTTCTCAGCAATGCTCCCCCGAATACAGAATGCTTTCCTCATGCCATCACTGTCTCCTTTTCGGTGACAGGTTAAGATTGTCCTCTGCTCCCAAGATGGGGATGGCATATGAAGAAGAATTATGTCAGTAGTTTTTAAGAGGTTCAGTACCTTACTATAAAATATTTTAGCTGTTTAAATTGTTGCCTATCAGGCATTTTATATTATGTATGTTATGTTTTTCTTATCTCTAACTGTGATTTGTATTTTTTCTGTGAAATCCCCAGAGAGCTTTGGCTATTGGACGGTATAGAAATGAAATTAAATGAAATAAATAGAACTCCTGGCAGGTGTATTGAGCTACATATTAAGAGAGACAGAACCACAGTTATCATAGCAGCCATGAACTCTTGAGTTGCTGCAGACATGGGGTGCATTAAAAGGATTACTAAAAGCAGATGTAACCTTTCAGTGTTCTTTATATACTCTGTCAAATAGGTAAATTAAAACAGGTGAATTTCTCCCCTCTTCCCTCCCATTCCACTCATTCTTATTTGCATTAATTATTTGAGTAAAGACATACTCCCAGAACTATTACTATGAAATACAAAGATGTAATCTTGCATATATGCCATAAATTTAAGCAAGGTCCTTCTGCTTCAATATGCAATTACTCCAAATTTAATGAGTAGCCTCCGCAGAAAACAAGCTAGAGAACCTATTGGTCTAAAGGGGAGTATGCATAGAAGAAATAAATAAAATCAGATTATTAAAAAAATGCTTCCCTTACAGGACTTCAAGCTTCACTGGGTACAGTTTTGACCCTGCTATACACAGATGTCGTCTATTCATGCTGTGTGTATATTCCAAGCTCACCTAATTTCATTATTTCTGAACCTGTTAAGAATCAAACAGTCAGTAGTACAAAACATACATGGAATTGCAAAGACTGGGAAAAATAATTTAACATGAGTGATCTTATTAGGAAGGGGATCAGTTTTAACAAATATTAACCTTATTTTTTAAATGAGCTAGAGAAATATAAGGGTGGCAGATTACATACTTGTAACAAACTACACAGGATTATAAATACGTACAGGGTCTAGTCTTCATATCCAAGTAAATTAGCAGAACAGCATATAGTTTTCATTTTTAGATATGATATGATATAACTCAATTAAATATTAATACTTTGTTGTTATTTCCTGGAGACTGGGCAGAATTTGAGGTTGTGTCTTGATGAGTGGCTGGAGCCGTAAGAATCAACCAGCTGTATAAATAGCCATGTTACTGCTTAACATCAAAATGTACTGCATCCTGATGCTTCTGAAACAGACCTAAGATTTCATATTTGGTTGGCTGGTTGGACCCTACTAGAAATGATCCCTGTCACCAAATACATCATTGCAGTGTCATTCAAAGTTGTAACAAAGTAACGGAATGACTGAAGGTGAATCATGCAGACAGCATCTTAAATGCAGTTCTGACTGTGCAAATCTAGGCATATAATGTCTAGCAGGACACTCTTGGTATATTTATGCTGTCTTGATTGGAGAGATGAGACAGGGTATAAATGAATTAGTTAGGATGGTAAATCAGCATGAAGCACAGTGGTCAGACCTGCAAGATGCCTACTAATTATACT